AAGTACAATATTTTAAATTTCCTGTTATTGAATATTTCAGAATTTTAATTTCCGGAGAATTATCAAAACAAATAAAAATGACTAAACTACTCTCAAAATACCCAAAATATTTAATGAATTAAAAAAAAGACTAAAATTAAGCGAAATCAGAAAAAGTATATGACTGTGGTCTATAGATAGGCACATGCCTTTAAAAAAATTTGTTTTATTGGTATACAATTGGACTTCCTTCTCTTGATTATATTTAAAAATTTCTTCTGTAAAAAATTTTAAAAATTTTTAAAAAATTAAAAAATTACTTTAATATTGTGAATTTAAATTTAGTTTGAAGTTTTACAATTATATTTCACAATTGCTATTTAATTTAAACCGGCCACCTACGGCGAATGTTCAAAACAATACTATGATAGAACGCGTGCATTCGAGTATAATGTGCTAACATAACTAACTAATCATTATACTCCGAAAATTCAAAGTTACTTGCTATCTAAACATCTAACGAACGTCCATTTAAGAAGATGTAAGATCTAGAAATTAAATTCTCTAATCAGTTAAAATATTTAATAATTAAATCTGAATTTTCTAATAAGTAGTTGGCTTAATTTTTTCAAAGTAAATGGCTTTATATTTTATATTTGACTTACGAATGCGAATTTTTTAATATTAAAGTTTGGCTTTCATCCCTATATGCAAGATTATTTCCATATAAAGCAGTGTTTCTTTTTTTTAAAGCTTTCTGGTGTTATAAACACTTTTAAATAGAATGCAAATAGTCGATTTTTTTTAAATTTCTTCAAAGGAAACCGAATAAAGGTATAAATGTAGGTTTCTACCCGGACCATCGTAGCCATTGGCGATTTATTGCAGCCCCCTTCACGCTCCCATGCTTCCACTTCAGTGCTCCTGTTCTACGTATGATGCTGGAGATTTCCTCAATGGATGTTGAGGAATCGAATACTTAGGAATCCCTCCCCAAAACAATTGTGACACAGAACAGTCGGTATACTGTCAGAATGTAAGTTGAGAACCATTTAAAAAGTGTCTTTGTATTAACGAATAAAAGGTGAATGGTTTCCAACTCCTATTATGAATTATGTTGTGGTGTTATAAACGGCATAATAAACTTAATATTATACTGTATACAAATCTCAATTAATTTGGGTATAAAATTCTAATAGCAGGTTATATTACAGTTACCTATTTTGATTAAAACCAATGAATTAACATATTTTTCTAGATGAAAGTACGAAAATAGAAACTTGATTCCAATTACTATTTTGTAAATTGTTTTTCTACTTAAGTACATTTCATAAAACAAGTATGTACGTGTACATACAAACGAATTTTCGTTTTTTTATAAATTAAGCGCCGAAAGAGACGAATAGCTCTCTAAAAAATATTTATTTACAAATTTCGTGGAAAACAAATGAATCAATGAACTTTTTTTTTGGTTTGCCCTTTAGTTGACCTTAACAGTATGAATGTGACATTTTTGAAAAATAAATAAAGCAAAAACAAAATTTACGCTTTTAAAAGACTATGCGGGTTCACTTATTAGTCTTTTTCAAATAAAATGCAGCGGCATGTAACAAAAATGTTTTTTCTATTTTATCATTATAGAAATATTATTTCAAACGGTTTATGACATATGTCATATACACCCTATGGAACTGCTGGTGCGATGGAAATGTTCTACAGAATGCCTACAGACGAACAGAAAGCACGTGGGGAAATTTTGCCTTTTGGCAAAAAGCCCAAATTTCACCAAGTTTCTTCTCCGAGCTACAATTGAGGCCTTGAGTTGATTCCTCATTTTCTGCAATTTTCTTTGATAATTCAGAATATATGACAGATAGCGTCACCTTTGCATACTCATTTTGAAGCTCACGAAACTCCCTTTCTAAGTGTGTGCCAGTGTACTTGAATTTTCATTTAATCGTCATTGAGAAGTATCCTTCCAAAATAAGTTCTAAATTTGCATAATTTTTTTTTATTTACTTGAAAACCTTAACAAAATATTTTGATGAGACTTTAAGATTATCTAATACAAAAATCTGATTATAAAACAGAAAAATAATTAGGATATACGCGTCTAAATAAACACAAACATACATATACATGTAGGCATAATTTATGTAAATATGTACATACGTTTATTCACCTTACCGCACTCACTGATTAATTAATTAATTTTAGGGCTTTTAACTAAATTAAGAAATAAATAAAGGTACTTTTGTTCTTTTTTTCGGTTTCTAAATAAAATCATTAAAATATGGTTATTTTTTTGTAAAGGTATGCGTTAAAGTTTAATAGATATTTGCTTTAATTCTTGTAATCACACACTTGTAATAAGTGCATAATTTATATTTGATCAAATTTATATGTTAGTGTATAGGTACTAATATTATATGTAAGATTTATTCAAATTAGTAATCAAATGAGTAATCAAAATTGTACTAGTAAGTTTATGAATTTATTCGAATGTCAAAATATGCGAAGACACATCCTATATTTTAGTTATGAAATTTTAAAAATTTGTTTACACTTTTTATGTATTCATATTTATTTTTAAATAAATATTGTCTTTGCAATTAAATATGTAAACAAAAACTAAACTTACTCAAATACTTGAAGAATAAGTACTTAATTTTTTATTTTTCAATTTACAACACATTTGAATTGGCATGCATAAGTGTATTAATTATTATTAGCTTATTCAAACATTGTCTGAACACATACATATACTCTTATGTAAAATATAGATGTTAACATAAGTGTAAAATACTTATGGTATAATAGTAATAATAAATTATTATACGTTTATTACACAATATTGAACATTTATGTATTTGTAACCATAAGACAAAACCGTCTAAGTCCAATTAACATAAAATTGAAATATTTTATACTTTATTTGAATTCTTCAAAACTATTAATTTGAATTTATACAATTATACCTTCAGTGGCTGCTACAAATATACAAATATGTATGTATGATTTGAAATTTTAATGTTCCTATAAATAGGCAGAATGAATCTTTCAATCACAAAACTTTAATAAATGTTTATAACACAATATAATTTCTAATTATTATCAAAATCATTAATAATTTTTTTCTTGATTAATTTAATTATATTTCTGTCAAATTCATATAGTTTTCATATACAAATACATACATACATACACAAATGCAATATATTTATATGAAAAACTTAATTAAGTGCTAAAGAACATTAATAACTTCAAATAATATTAAAAGCAAGTTGAAAGGTATGTCCTATACACATATGTATGTCGCCCACTGGGAAAAATAACGACATAACTCAAGAATATTAGATTTCACTTTCATGCGTTTAAGAAATTTTGGGTAATTCAAATTTTACAATTAACTGGAATTTTCTTAAGAGTTTTCAAATATTGTAAAAAGTTTTGCTTTAAAAATTATCAAAATGTTCTGACAATTTTGTTGAAAATAAGTATTACCCTATAAACTGGAACTGGAAATTTAAGCTAGCGCCGCCCGCATGCGTAGTATGATTTTCTTTCAAATTGAGTCTTATTTAGTTCGTTATCTCTTGCATATCCAGTTAGAATTATGTTGAATATCTATGCAACAATATTGCTTCATACTATTGCAAGTAGGGTTTGTATTGGACGCGGAATAATATGCAATTTTAAGCCGTAAGTAGGTGTCTTCTAAAGACAAATTTTCGTACTAAAATTTCAATTCTATTTTTTTCCCGCTAGTATTGCACTGTTGATTACGAAACTATTTTTTAGTAAATAAATTAAGAAATCTTTAATTCCCTAATATATTTAACTTAGAAATCTCGTTCTTTGTGACTTATATCATTCTTCTTGCGAAAATTGCGTGATGTATAATTACAATATAGTGAAAAACTAAAGAGAAAATAAAAGCGATAATTACAGCAAGCATTCTTCAACTTTATATAGAAATAAAATGAGGTTTTTTTCTTTGTTTTATTCTTATATGCTAGTAATAAATGTAGGTATACCTACCTACTTGCATGTATTTAAGGTATTTATACATTATGTAAGTATAAGAGTATAAAATAATATTTATTTTGAAAATTTTGTGTCGCATGCGATGACAATTGATCGACTTTTTGATTTTTAATTTTAATATTATTCACCAAAGAATTTTAATTATATTCTAAACTTGTTCTTAAAATTTTTCTCTATATATAGGTCTCTCTATTAGATATACTTAAACATATACAATATTATTTATTTACATTATTTGTTTAAATTAAAATTCACATGTATGTATGTATGTACATTACTACACTTTATTTGTATAAAAGAAAATATTTTCTTGCATTTCTTTTTCTGTTTCGGTTTTTTTTTTTGTTTATATTTTTTTTTGTGTCGTTTTGTGTGTGAGCTTTAAAACTGAATGAACTTGAGAGTCTCTTCTACACACAATATATTTTTGACTTATTAATATTAGTTATAAACTTTAATTTTTCTCATCAACACATGGTTAACCAAACAAAAAACTAGTTAAACTTCGTTAAATATTCAAGCAACAATATATGTAGGTAAAAATATAATAGGCGTATAATAACTTAATAAAAATATATTTTTTTTATACAACGGCATTTTGTTTCAATACATTTAAGTACACACAGTTATTTTATTTATAATATTGTTATACACATGTATTATATATCTGTTATAATCCTACATATGTGTATATAACAAAAATGTACTTAAACATAGAATATGTAGTTGCATAAAAAAATTGCACACTCTATATAGAGAAGGAATATATGTATAACATTAATATATGTATAACAGATATAATATGTACATATGGTGTATAATAGATAATATATTAAAGAGATGAAAAATGAACTTAAGGTTTAATTAAATTCGGTTATACATTTTTTTTTTTCGTAGGTCGGTGAAGGTAGGTTGGTGGTGGTAGGTTTACACTTTATTTTATCAAAAAAAAAAAAAAACAATAAATTACTCACTTTTGCTGTTGATTTTAATTTTTTTTTATTTTTGATTTTTTTTTTCTTTTTCATATAAATGTATGTATGTATGAATATTTTAAATATTATTATACACAAAAATAAAAATTTCAAAAATTTCGATGGTTTCAATTTTTTTTGTTTTTGTATTTTTTTTGAGTTTTTGTTTCAGAATAAAAAAAAAAAGAACAATAACGAAAGTTCGAGACAAAAAATAATCGGACGGTGAAAAATTTTATAAAATAAAAAAAAAAAATTCTTTTTATCTTAATTTTAATTAATAATTTTTTTTTTGTTTTTTTTTTTTTTTTTTATCCGTTACGAGCAAAAAGAAGATCACGACGGTCACTGGAAAACTAAATTCAAATGGAAAGGATAACAAATTTTTATAATATTCTACTAACTACTACTACAACTACAGTACTACCTTTTCATTTTGACAATAACAAAAAATTAAAACAAAAATACCTTTGTTTAAATGTGTGTACTCATTATTATTTTTATCTCTCATTTTCAGTCAACATTTTCTTCTTTATTTTTTTTTGTGTTACTTTTTTCGTCATATTAAAATAATTATTATTGCCAAAGTAATATTATATATATATATATACATTAGATTCGGGTGTCAGTGATGGTGCACTGTATATAAGAGTAAGTTTGTAAAATTATTATTGTATACGGTACTTTTTCAAGTTGAATACAGAACAAGATTGATTTTCCACGGTGAAATTCTGAAACTCCACGGACTGCCCAGAATCAAACGAAATTACCGCCGCCGCAAATTTAGCCTCCGACGGTAAAATGGCCTAAGTTCTTATTTTATCGCTGACGGTTTTTGTTCACATTATCTGTTTCCATATTGTGTGTGTAATATTATATGTAAAAAAAAAACCATTAATTTTGCCGTTCCACTATTGTTCTGGGTTAACAAAACGGAAATCGTCCGCCGTTGCCGTTCAAAATAATAATTTACCTTATAAATTATTTTCAGTAATAATATGACGTAAACTGTCATCTGTTTTTATTTATGTTAAATTTGACACTTATATTGTGCAAATTGATTATTTCTCGAGCTAGTATGTTTTATGTTAGATTTCTTTGCCTACTAAAATTGACGCTAACATAATTTTATTTTCATTTTAGTACAAAAAGTTATTTTGTATTTTCTTGATTGAGTACAATGAGACTTAAGAGAATAACCATCCCTGTATTCATTGCAACGAAATTTTGATTATGGACATTGATTTCTTGTCTCTCATTTTTCAATAAGCTTTATGGTTGTATCTCTCGTTAAGTTTTTTCTGTTAAGTTAACATAAAAAAATTTTTTTAAATTTTTTTTTTATGTTGAGTAAATATATGAAACTTCTTGGTTTTATTTAAAAGGGTTTTTTTTGATAAAATGTGCCGAAATTTTATCATAAATAAAACCCTTTTTTTAACGAGGTGTACACTCTCTTTCTTCTCTCTGTGTCCAGGCGTGATATTTTGGAATGCCATATACATAGGTACTGATTCAATATCATTATTCATTAGTTGTACTTTGTTTACATACTCTCTGTTTAATTAAAAAAAAAATTGAGAGGACTGATGCATATAACATTTGTACGATTTACAGGTTGGATACAGAGAGAGGAAAAATTTTTAAAAGAAAATGCTGAAAATTATTTAGTTTACTAAATGTAAGTGTATTTTAAGTTCTAATTAAAAAAAGTGATTCAAATATTAAGTTTTTTGTTTAAAAGAATCGCAATTAAGCAAATATTCTTGTAAATAAAGTACGTTAATCAGGTGGTATCAAGGGGCTTTGTCGTAAGGACCTGTAATACTACAAGTACTCTAGTTTTAACTGGATTTTCCAATTTTTTTTTGCTTCGAGTAGCTGCCAAATGTTTTTTGAATTTTTGACTTTTCTTCTTATCATTTTTTCTCGCTGTTCGTATGGGAACTCTTTCAGATTAAAAATTACATTTCGCAGATTATTAATAATTCAAAAAGTTTGGATAAAATAAACCGTTGTAATTCGTTAAACTCAATAACTGTATTCAAATAGGGGAAAAGTAATTGCAATGTCATGGTCTTATTCATTTTATAGAGCACACTGTTGGCTGAATAGGATTATCTTGCAATTCTATTAAGAGCAAGAGAGAGAAAGAGAGAGAGAGTAAAAAAGAGATAAAATGAAGTTATTATTGTAAGAGCATTCTTAATAAGAAATACTGCAGCATACACGCTTCTTTACACATTTAAAAATTACCTTGGAAAGTTTAGGAAGTTTTTTTATGCTTAAACACGTCATTTTGTTTAGGAAATTTTTCTTTGTTTGTATTCATTTTGAAACTCCACTGAAAAGCTTTTGCAATGAAAATTAAGAACACAAAAAACCAAAACAAAAAAAAAAAAAACATTGTTATTATTGCTGTGAACTATAAGAACAACAAATTGTTGTGAGCAATTTTTACGCATGTGCAAATAAATTTTTAAAGCATCTTGTTGAATAGAGTGTTGTTTTGTTTGTTACTGCTATTACAATAAAACAACAACAACAAAAATTAATATTACCGTGATAGTTCCTGAGACTATACACTATTAAATGCGTCTGTGTACTTATTATTATCAGAATATTATTTTGCATAGTTATAGTGTTGTGCCATATAACAATAAACTATATATATTTTACCGTTATCAGTGACTATCGTTTTTGCATAAAAGTTTAAAATGTACGTATGATAAAATACTTTTTGTTATTGTTTATGTATGGCTGTACTATACAATATGGTAATATTTCTCTTGTGGTGTTGGTTTCTTTAAACTTTTATATTTGCTCTCTAATGATTACTTATTAAAGTAGGAGATTTGAAGTTTCATATATTGTGAAAATGCAGAAGTTATTGAAGGTCAGTTCGCAAAAAAATTTCAGTTTTGTTTCCAAGTGTTATAAGGCGACTTTGCAGTATGATTGACACTATTTTGTGTGAAGCCTCATATTACATTATTTCATACTACATCCTGTGCCCATAAACATTAAAAATTAATAAAACTTTAAATTTTGAATAGTTTGTTTCTAGTGTAACTAAGACCCCTTATAGAATTAATCCTATAGAATTAAGAGCAAGAGAAGTAAAAAATATTATTAACATATTCTTTCCGATAAATTTGAATACATAGTAAGTTTTTAAATTCAATCAATCATTCATTTTTATGTTAAAATTTCAATATTCTCTTCCATTTTTAAAAAAATAACTTCTCCCAATTATATGCAAAAGGCTATAGAAAAAATAATGGTAAAAATTGAAAATATAGCTGCGGTATTTTCATTTAGTGCAATTTTTTTCTAATATTCAATTATCAAAATTACTATTTGAATAAATATATTTTACGAATAAATATATGTATTTGGTTTGAACATAAAATATCGTTTAATTGGATTTTGTCTAGAATAGCAAAATTGGTTTGAGTAGGAAATAAATTTAACTTGATTTAAAAAATAACTATAATTTAATTTTAACATTAGAGCTGCCACCTATGATAAAATTTTGAAATTAGTTTTTTGGTTGAAATAAAATTCCGCCATCTATTTGTGGATAGAAATAGTTTTGTTATTTAATAATTTTTCGTTTAGAAAAAAAAAATGGCTTAGTGACATCTTTTGAATAACAGAAAATTTGTACTTGTAACAAGAAAACTTACTTCCTCCTTTAAAAATATTTTGCAAAATTTGAATTTTATTCAACCAATTCTTTGTTTGATTCAGGAATCGGGTTTATTCTATATAATTTTAATTGGTAAATGGTAAATTTAGTCATGTTGATTTTGGGTGTAAATCGAAAGCTGGATTCATTGTCTCATGATTTTATCTCTAATTTTAAATTTAAGTGGTGATACAACGTACATTATACTTTTATAGTGTTGATTGGAATAACCTGCATAATTTTTTTGAATATTTTAAAGCTTTTCGACCAAAAAAAAGTGATCAGTAAATTAAATAAGTTTTATTTTAATATTGCAGCCAATATCTAATCTCGATTGATCAAAATTCCAATATGTTAGTGTTGACTTCGATTAAAAAGGGCCGTGCAAAAGGTGATAATAGCGCCACCACAATTTTTTACTTTTACAATTGAAATGAAAGTAGCTTATCTTATGCAAATTCTCAAATAGAGTTTAAAAGGGGGATAAATACGGGTACAAACTGAGTTCAAAATCAATCAGTAATGATGAAAGACTGATCACAATAATATGACAACTTTTAATATAACAAAGGAATTTTTGAATAAAATATACGAATAAAGTATAAAAATTTGTGTTTCACTCGAATAAAATATTTTTGAATTCTGGACACAAACAAGTTACATAATCAGTTGATGTCAGTTGGTTGAGATAAAAAAGAAAAAAATTTACGTTATTTCTTTTATATGCTTCCAAAGAAAAGAAATAATCATGACTGTATTAGTATAAGTGTTATACACTGATCCTCGTATTCAGTTTAATCCACACGCCAAAAACCTCAAAGTGATCAATTATTGAAATCAATTAAGTTAAAATGTTTCCGACTCTTTATTTCTTTTGCAATTTTATTTTTAAAAAAATTTTTCTTTTTTGTTATACTTGGTTCTTATAAAATAATTCGAATTAAATATTTTTTTGTTTCTGGTTACGTGCATTTTCAACAAGTTTTAATAAAAATTCAAACAACTGTTACAAAATTTCCGGCCGAAAGTGTAGTGCAATATTTTTTTTTGTTTTTTGTTAACCACATAATTAAAAAATTACTTTAAATTTGATTATCCTTATATTAAATTGATAAATTTTAAAAAGTGCACGCATTTAAATTTTTAGGTTTTTTTTTTTTTAATTTGTTGTTAAAAATTGAACGATTTATGCGATTTCTTTAAAGAGATCTTTAGTTTTAATTGTTTTAGGAGGTGCAGTGCAATATATAAGAAAATTTGCTTGTAATCGGAAGATGCAAGGTTTATTTTTATACAGACTTGTTTTATTGACTCTGTTATGAGTCGCCGATCAAATCAATTAAAAATTTTTTGATTAAACAGTGAAAGATTCATGATCAGATCGTTTTTAGCACTAATACGAACCTCAAAAATAACAATCCCATGCAAAGAATTTAGGATAATTAGTAAAACCGCTGGATCTCAATTTGAGGAGTATAGTTCTAAGGGGATAATTTTATGAGACAAAGTATTCTATTATTAACACGAGTTAGGGACATGCTCTTCTAAAGCTTATTGTTTATGTACTATATTATTGGCTAACTTAATACTTTTCATTAAAGTCGGAAGTATTTGTAATATAAATGTCACATAATTACCTGTC